ATATATATTGTGTTTGTCTGTCCTTCCTTTATGCCTTACCGTGCGACCAATGTGACAGTAAGTTACGCACTACTTATTATCCGTACATCGAGTTGTAATTATAGCTGTAGTCTGTTATATGTATGTAGTAAAATATAACGTGCCTCAACGAGTGGAGATCATTAACATTGACATTATATTACGTACCTACATATACTCGAAATGTAAATAATGTCTATACGTAGATAAGAAGTACTTAAGGTTGTACTTGTTTCTGTTGGGAAGCTACTTACCTTATAGTTTTGGAGCAAAGTAAATAATTAATATTATGTTGTACGCTCACAAGCAACTTCGTTGCACTTTCGACACAATTACTATCAAATAACACGTTAAGTAGATTATACCGTGCAAGCCGCCACCTAACGTCTTAACGATTATTGTCGCATTTGTAACGATTTCTCACTGAGGCCTTACAAGGAAGGCAGTATTAAAATAAATTTAAAAGCTAAATGTAATGTTAATAATAATTGACGCTTTTGAAACCTAAATCCTAACAAATTTTACTCGACTTTTGATATACTTTTTGAGGAAAACGTTTATACGTAAGTGTCTATTGAAGCAGAAAGAATTTCATCTATAATAAAAGCAATTTAGTGATTTTAGAAAATACATTCTCAGCTAGCGCGTCCCCCGCTCTCTCTCTCCCGGAGTCGCTATTCTCGCCGATGCGCTAAATTCTGTTTGGAAAACATCTAACGCACGTGATTCACCTAAATATTCCCAAAAGCGCACTCTGCATAAAAATTGTTTGCTTTCGTTTTGGCTTTGAATATATTTCAATTTTCATTTTTAACAAATTTATAAATATTGAGCTATGGAGGTTTATTTTAAATTTGTTACTTTACAAAGATTTTTTTTCTGATATACTATTTTTACTTGCATAAATTTATTTTTATTTAATATGAGCACAGTTCTTAGTAAGAAAATATTCCACCATGGTCCTATTTTGCGAGTCCCTACAGCGAACTACATAGTTTGTATCCGACCCATGTACATAGCTGGATCTTAAAAAAATATTTGCCGCAAATATAAATGTATTAGATATCTCCTTTAATGTCCTTAATTATGAGACCCTGATTATTCAATAATAATGCTGTAGAAACGAAGACTGCTTTTTGTGAGACCTCGTCTCTATTTTATGGAAAGACTCGTGTGGAGTTACATTTATGAAAATGCTTGAATGAGTAAATTTCTCTTCGGTGCATTATAATTACGTTAATAAAAAAATATATTATATTCAGACATATGAGCTCGAATCGCACCAAAAAACATCAAGTCATAATTGGAAAGAGAACAAGATAAAATGATAATTAAAATAAAACATCGCCTTGATAAAGCAAACAAATCCAACAAGGAAAAAGTTAGCGCGCGAGAAAGGAAGGAAAAGGTGCAAATAAACATTGAAGGGTTGGTGGTTATCTCGTCACCGCGCGACCTGCCCCTGCCTGCTCCCCGCGCCCGCCGCGCGACCTGCATACCGATCACACGGCAACTTGATATTATGTTAGCGATGCTTGATGAACTTCATATTTATGTACGGCTAAATTTCATATATGTATTAAGTAGAGCCATATACAATATACATTATACATACATACATATACCTACTTGTATATGTAGCTCTAAAGCTGATGATTGCACTCATCTGCACATTTATGGGAAAATATTTTTTTTAAATTTAAAATATTTTGTCTCATATGTACATTACATATGCATTTTAGATTAAATAAATTTCTCAAACAATGTATTTTATTCAGTTTAGTTGTAAAAGCAGATCAATTTTTTATGACTACTGTACGTTTGATTTGCGTAAAAATCTGCAACAAAAATAGAGACAAAGAGGCGGAAAGTTGTTGTATATGCAGAAGCACCAAGGCGTAAAATATGAATGAATATATTTATTTATTAACTAGCGACTCACCCTCGCCCCGCCCTAGATACCTTTTAACGGTTAGAATAGATTTCTCAGAGATGAGATACTTTCCCGCAATAAAAACTATCCTATATGTTGACCCGGATAACCAGCTATCATCATACTAAATTTAATCAAAATCTATCAAGTGGTTTTCTCGTGAAGCGGTTATAGACTGATAGAGAGACAAAAATTCTAAAAACTAGAGATTCGGCCTCTGTATAACTATTTCAACAAAATTTTCCAAAAAATATTTAATGTGCAGATTCGACTCAGCTAGAATTTTATTATATGTATAGATAACACTGAATGAAGTTTATACACACTTTATCTTCGTCTTCTTAATCGCGTGCACGCTCCGTGAGGCGCCGGCTCTGCGACGCTATGTACGTCTTGTAGCTTGTAACATGTTGATCTGAGAATAAATGTCTCCCGACTGTGCCGGGTAATTGCTAATTACGCAAACTTGATGCAAGAAATGATTTATCAGTAGCCTGGCTTCAGACAATTTCTTAACATTTATTTTATCATATCAAATATATATTAATGAGGTATTGTTTGATTCAAAATCTAAAAATTGTTGATATCATATTTAATTGAAGTAAAGAGCGCGTCTTAAGATATTCAAGTAAACATTTATTTACCTGTCAGCGCGTCTGGAGCAGATAAGCCTCGAAATCTCATTAGTTTAAGATCTTTCAGTAGTGGGATCTGTTACTCAGCAGTGCTATGTTCTGTTTCACTAGATTTCGACTCCTAAATTAAATATTCTCGGGTTTAAGTGATTAAAATATTTTGCCACAAAGGTATACATAAAATTTTCTTTACAAAGTGGACGAATTGTTTAAATTTTTAAAAGGTGAATTTTCAAAGGAAACCATTTATCAGAAACCCCTCATCTTCGTTATTATAAATCTGAAACAGAACTTATCTAAATATGTATTATGTTCGATATGATTTTTAGTGAACCTAAATCGTTGTAGATCAGATTATTTTAGATCTCTTATTTGTTTTCTTACCAAAACTTGAGGTCAATTTTAATGTTTTTTTTTTCTTTTTTGTATATTCATTATACATTTACTCAAAAACTAGAAGGTATAACAAAATCATATTTTTCACATCAGCGCAACGATTTAATTAGCCCCTAATAAGTTTAATATTTACTCATTCAGTATTGGAGTTAGCGAGTGAAGTCGTGAACAAACAGCTTTCAAAATAAAATACAACATGTAAATGGTTCTGACGTATATATTATTTATATGCATACAAAAGTCACGGCAGCATAACTGTAAGTGATATATACACGTATATACGAGTACGTTAGGAGCTCGACAAGTGATATATCAAAACAATGTAGGTCTTGAAATATTACAGTGTCGTGGTTAATATTCACAATTAGTTTTTCAAAGAGTAGATAATTGTGAATATTTACCATATAAGTAAATAAAGACGTTCGTATATTAAAATAATGATATATTATAACTTCGTGCTAAAAAAATAAAGTTTTATTTTTATCGCGAATTAAAAAGATTCATGGCCAGCGACCCTAGTTTTCTTTACTTTAAAATAAAAAAAAATCTATATCAAATATACTTTTGATACACATTTAAATGGCGCCATGATGTACACATATATACTTTCAAGAGTGATTATGTTGTGTTTGTGTTGTATATTAATGGCAACGCTACCATTATCTGCAGCCATCAGACCATTGTATCGTAACATCCTTATATCGTTAGCCGCTTATTTGTACCTCCACAAAGGCTATACGTGCGTATTTTGTCTCAATTACTTTCATTAATATGATGGAGGTAGTTGGAGGCTGCGTGTAAGATCAGAATACAAATCTGCGGAAGATGTAAATGTGAAGTGATGAGATGGAAGCGAGAGTTGCTAACGACATGGACTAAATGTTAGGTGATTCCTCTAAGCTAATGAAATATCTCTACTTCTAAGTTTTTTCTCAAATATTATACTCACATAATGTATAATAATATAAATTGATCAATAAGCAAAGAATCAAATCAGATTTAATATTTTTTAATTTATGACATAATGACATAAATATTACTTATACATATATTTATTCTCATTACAATTTAAATAGTGTATTACATTTATAATGTTTGTTAGTTTTAAAATAGCTTTAACCATTTGGTCAATAACAAGACTTCTTTGTGTATGTTATCACTAGCGACTCACCCCCGCTTTACTCGGGGTCATCCGTTATTACGGTTTGCATGAAATAGATAAACTATATATTATATAATATATAGCGTTCCTTAATAAACGGGATATCTAATGCAAAAAGAATTTTAAAAATCGGATTAGTAGTTCCTGAGATTGATGCATTCAAAACAACAAACAAACAAACAAACAAACAAACAAACAAACAAACAAACAAACAAACAAACAAACAAACAAACAAACAAACAAACAAACAAACTCTGCCTCTTTATAATGTTACTGTAGATTGAAGTATTTTATCGACCTCACCTTTGTATATAAACACAGAAAATCAAGGCAAGCAACATTTGGAGCACAAGCTAGTGGCAAGTACACTCGCAACAGTAACCCGCCTCCAGCCAGTAGTCCCACTTAGCGTTAAGGGCTCCGTAATGAATGCGCTCGGAGGGTTCTGATGAATATTTAGATTTATCGACAGCGCACGGACTCGGGCGAGCCCGCCGAATACATTACCTGTTTTTATTTACTTCCAACGATCACTCCGTTACTGATATTAGATCCTGATGCAAAATACAGCACTTACTTTTTCCAATGTAAATATGCATGAGTCGCTTAGATTGGGCAGTTCTATGATTGTGCGAGCTACTCCTAAAGCTCTCAATAGCCAAAGCACGTCTACTTTCGAGTCACTAGAAAACCGCTCCCTCTACCATTACAATATATTCGAAATGTTGTAGTAAGTAGATATTATTAATCACATATTTCTAGAATTAGAATATTATAAACGTATCCTCACACATTTTAAGCAAATACAATTTTCATAGCTTCGACTCGTTTTTATAGAAATTTAATTATTAAAACAATGTTGGGTCCACACAATCCTTTCTCGTACACAGAAATATTAAAATATGAGAGCTGCACAGTTTGTGTGCGGCGAGCACGGAACTTCACGTTGCAGCCAACACTTGTTACGCATCACGGTGCAAGCGTCGGGGCGTCAGGGGCCAGGGCGGGCGCCAGGGCGGGCGCAGGGAGAGACGCAGAGGCCGCTTTGTTGCGACATATTGGTTCCGCCGCCCAACGTCATATTGAAAATTATCCACCTCAGACCCCCTCAAATTCGACTTTTAATTTCGCTTTGTAAGATAAGATAAACAAATTATTTTTAAATCCCCTCATACTTAGTAGTATATGTAGTCGAGCGACGCTCGCTGCAATTTTCCTTCACAAGTTCCTCTTCATGCAATCCGCGCAAATGTTTTATTTATATTTATTGTCGCACATACGCTTTATTGTCGAGTAGCTGTTGACTGTCGGCCGGAGCACAATCGCGGGTATAACGTTTTATCTTTATCTACATTTCCATATAAAAAATCTAATATTTGAGTTGTATACTGATTAAGAACAGGTTTTTAATTTCATTTTGTGATATATTTCACAGTAAAAATCGCACAGATGAAGGTAATACCTAAAAATCCTCTAATATTATTGAACTAGCGGCTCACCCTCGCTTCGCTCGGGTTCGCCTCTAGAAAAATACTAATAGAGATCTATTAGTTCCCACGGGGACCGTGAATAAGTTGTTGTGTGCTAAGCTGGATTACTATAGTTTTTTAATTATCCCACGGGAACTCTTTAATTTTCTGGCATGAAAAGTATCTAAGATGTTGACCGGGGATATAAGATACTACCATGCAAAATTTTATTTAAATCGGTCCAACAGTTTCGGAGATTAGCCCGTACAAACATATAAACAGACAAACTGACAAACAGACATACAGGCAAGCAGATAAACAGACAATTTTTTTAATAACTATTGTTTTGGGGTCTATATTGTGTACATAATACGTTACAAACAAACAAAAACAGATCTATTCCACGGAAACCGTTGATTTTTCCGGGATGAAAAGTAACCTGTTGTTTGACCGGCAATATAAGGTATCAGCATGCCAAATACTAAATTAGGTGCATAAGTTGTTGAGTACTAAGCTGTATAAGTTACTATAGTTCTTTAACTATCCCCACGGGAACTCTTTAATTTTCCGGAATGAAAAGTATCTTACATGTTGACCGAGGATATAAGGTACGACCATGCAAAATTTCCTTTTAAATCGGTCCAATAGTTTAGGAGATTAGCCCGTACAAACAGACAAACAGACAGAGAAACAAAAATATTGAAAAAAATCTGGATTTGTTCTATTTGTCTTCTTACATCCCCCTGACTCGGTTTGTAGTATTTTTTTGCTTTGTACAGACATTCGACCTCTACTGTTATTATAGTATAAATATTAATGCTTCCAAAAGTCATTTCATAGAAATTGTAAATGTAGTATGTTAGCGCACATTTTCTGTTGCGGTGTCTCTTAACATGGAATAGATATTAATTTTATCTTCTTCTTTCTAATTTATTTATATTTTCCTTTATAATAGGTACATATTTTAAAATAACTCTTTGGCGATTACTTAAGTCTTAAATCGCCAAAGAGATATATCGATATATGCTCGTAGTAATGTTTTTTTAATAATGCTATAATTACTACTAATTATAACATTAACGTTAAATTTAACGTTACCGACTTTTATAACACGAATTTCAAATAGGTACCCGAAACTCCCAGGAAGTGTAACATGCATAACATTAATACTAGGAGCAAACAGAAACTTGTAATGCTCGTGACTCGTTGACACAGAGTCAATCATTATTTTTATGAACTAATACGCTTTTAGAACTATAAAAAAATGTTTGAAGAATTTTTGTGCGCTAAAGAGTATTATACTAATGATTTCATAGAGATGGCACGCCTTGGGATTTGAGAAGGAAGTGATCGCCTCCAGGCTACTTCAACTTTATAGAATTATTGTAAATTATAATTTAACTTACAAAAAAGGTAAAGTAATAATATTAGTCCCGCTGAGTTTCTTTCGCCAGTTCTTTTCAGGTCTGAGGCTTTTCTTTCCGAACTGGTGGTAGACTCATGACGTTCAGTAAAAAAAGTCATAATTAAATGCTGAATAAAATATTTTGTATTTGAATTTGAACTTACTTTATTTGATAGAGTATGTACAAACATAAACTTTAAATACATATTTTTTATCCAAAAAAATGTTTGAGATTTATATCCGATTTTTTTTTTTAAAATTGTTCGAAGGTATATTTATGGAATTATTATAGTTTTCTTGAAAACAAAATTAAATTATTTAATCAGTGAATGGAGTGATTTAGAGCTACTTGAGCGAAGCTAGCCAGGAAGGACCGTCTCTAAGTGTAAAAAAAATTAGATTCTTTATATTAATTACAAAGTGAAACTTGTTAAATTTTTATATACGAGTTTAGTGGACACTTCTCGTCGCTGGCGTAACCATAAATTTTATTTGTAGATTAAAACCGTTTTATTGATAATCCGTAGAATTTTAATAGTCAAAAACGAACAGCACAATTTTACTAAGTACATACATATATGTATATACTCGTACTTTAGATATCGTTTAGTTAACATCATTTTAAAGTTACAAAACATTGTTTTATGTTAAAATGACATAGTTCCGTAACAGAAGGGCGGCGGAGAGTTAGACATAAAGGCGCCGTGCGCGTAGAGAGATTTAAGAATACGTTAAGGTTCGTTACGTCGATGGCCCTTCAGCGAGAGAGAGCAAGGCTTACTGCGCTATCCAGCGGGTTTTAAATGTTTTACTAAAGGATAATGTGAAGAGATCGCGTGAGACGTAGCGATGTTTAAAATATTTATAACGTATAAAAGTTTTAAATTATAGTCAACAATTTTTAATAGATATGTCAGACTGCATTATATACACAATAGGTGTATCTTATATGTATGTAACATTATATAAAAACTCTTTAACAAAAAAATAAAAACCAACTTTAAAAAGAGCACTAAAAAGTAAAAAATTACTGATTGGTAGTTTTCATTTACTATACATACCTACTGATATATTTTCGAAGTCGGTGTACTTTGCTTTGTATCGGCTGGCAATTTTTATACGAAGACTTATAAACTGAAATTCACTTTTATAAGTACCCCAAAAAATTCTGGCTCTAAAATCCGATTCTTAAGTGTTAGGCTTGTCAAATCAAACAAAATAAGCCCAAACTCAAAATAGTTACTATTAGACGTTGCAGAATTCCACCTATCCAACTTCTGGCCTTACCATCAGATCAGGTCAACAACACCGAACCACTGTACTATCAACTGAAATAGAAACACTTGCAAAGTTTCAAGTCAATATGATAATTAGAAGTAGGTTAGATTTATCATTTTAAATTTATCATTTTTCCACCCTTAGGGGTAATATTTTTTTTTTGAAATTTAACCTGGACAAATGGAAGAAATGGGACTAATCTGGAAGTATACACTTTCAAACGAAATAAAAATTGTCCAAATCGGTTAATAAATGACGGAGTTCTGAGGTAACAAACATAAAAAAAACAGCCGAATTGAGAACCTCCCCCTTTTTGAGGTAGTCGGTTGAAAAGAGCTAATTTCATATTTATTTTTATAATATCGTTCTAATTCTAAGAACATACTAATAATGTAAATCCGCATTGTAAAATAAAAAAAATAATTAAAACTTATAACTAACATATTGATTGTCGAATGTAGAGCAACCGCGAGCTGGGCGCTATGTCTGAGCCTCTTGCCAATATTCCTTCGTAAACAACATATACACCAAAATATTAAAGAGTACAAATTTTAATTCAAAATGCATTAAATCCAGCGAAGGCCTGTGACGGCTGCAGTCGAACTCAATAATGCGGAGAGCTCTTCACCGGAACAATGCCGGCTGTTTATCAGTTACAGGTACCTATCACATTTCGCTCGCAAAATGCCATTACATTATTTTAATAGAGGAAGGTTTATAAAAGCCGAGAAATTCAAAGATTTGTATTACATATCGTTAAAACGTACGAACCCGAGCGAAGCAAGGGTGAGTCGCTAGTAATCTTATAAAACCATATTTTTTATAATCTATCCCGCGGAAATACTACTTTTAAAATTAACTAACTTTTCAGGGGATAAAAATATAAAAAGAAACATACTCAGGAACATTTCTAAAATAGTTCTTTGGACTTTGGTACCGTTATTGCACCTATGACCTCAATCTACCTAATAGCCAATCAAAATGTCAATCTCTAATTCACTGAGAATTAAGGGTCAGAAGCTAATGACTCTTTTTATTTTCGCCTAAAAGCCATAACAACTCGATATATCGAATTTTTTATTTGCAATATTAATTTCAAATACTTATTAGGAAATTTTGTGAAGCATCGATTATTCGTAAATATGTCAAAATGCTTCAGTGAACAATGCACGTAGAACGTAGAACTCTACATTCATTTAAATAAATAATATATTATATTATAATTTGCCCATTTTAGTTTTTATCCATGTTTCCAATAAATTTAAACTGAAAAAATATGGTTAATTATAATAAATAAAAATCACAGCGTTGTCAACTACGAGAGGACATCGTATTGTCTCGTCCTAATTGGCAAGCGCTCGGAAAACAATCCATGTCTATGATGAAATAATTGCATCGTTCTTATTATTAGTATTTAACAAATAACCGAGAATACATTTATAAAAAAATGAATTATCTATAATATAAATACAAATTTTAAGTAGTAATAAAATATCACCTTCCATATAGGTAGGTGCATATTATGTAATCTATACATATAATAGCCCGAGAGCTCGTGACGAATTTTGGGAAGGTCCTTTTGGCAAGTTGAAATTGTGAAAACATATAATTTCGTGAATTGGCGAGTCCAGTTCCGCGAGTCTGGTATAGGTTTAGCGGTTATTACCCTTTATGCGCGAGTCCGACTCGCACTTGGCAAGTTTTCATTTTTTTCTTAAAATTGAGAATTAATTAAAAATGTATAAACCAATAATTACGCTTGCACAATACATAATACAATTGGCAAATATATTTTTGGCAACTCGATTATGGTTTAATCTTTTAAATTAGGACTCGCGCATGAAGGGTTTCGAACCATTATCTATAAAAATAGCAAAAAAATCACGTTTGTTGTATGGGAGCCCCCTTAAATATTTATTTATTCTATTGTTTTATATTTGTTGTTATAGCGGCAACAGAAATACATCATCTGTGAAAATTTCAACTGTTTAACTATCACGGTTCATGAGATACAGCCTGGTCACAGACGGATAGACAGGCGGACAGACAGCGGAGTCTTAGTAATAGGGTCCCGTTTTACCCTTTGGGTACGGAACCCTAATAAACTACTCTAAAATACTCAGTTGTGCACGCAGAGCCCGAACCATGAGTTCGAAACGTGCGGTTTCTTAATAACCAATCACAGCGCGAGCACCTTGGGCCCCCATCAGCTGCTGGCATACCTTGGTAAGCTATCTTTCTTAGACCTAAAAAGACTTTTTTGTAGTGCTAATTTGTAAACTTTATTTACGTCTGGGAAGGGTTTAAAACCGCTAAATTCCTCTGGCGATTTGCAAATATTATTGAAACTTACTCAATAAATACCTGATTAAAATTTCAGATTGCCAAAAGTATGTTTTTTGAAATAAAAGAAAATGAGTCTTTGGAGAGGTCTGGCAATACTTTATAACCGACAAAAACGTCTCGGGTTCTTTTTTTTTAATTATATGAAAGCTAAATTAAAGGATTTAACAAAAATCAAGTTGCCAAAAATATTTTTTTTGGATATTTTTTTTGCAAATGTTGTATACTGCGCAGTAGCGAAATAACCGCTAAAGCTTTACCAGACTCGCGGGACTGGACTCACCAATTCACGAAATTATATGTTTTCACAATTTCAACTTGCCAAAAGGACCTTTCCAAAATTCGTCACGAGCTCTAAATAATGGGTTATAATAAAATTCTAACTGAGTAAAATCTGTACATTAAATATTTTTTGGTAAATCTTGTTGAAATAGACCTTATTATCGATACAGAGGCCGAATGTATAGTTTTTAGAATTTGTGTCTATCTGTCTGTCTGTCTGTTACCGCATCACAGAAAAACTACTGGACTGATTTTGATGAAATTTGGTATGGTCATAGCTGATTTTCCGGGTCAACATATAGGATACTTTTTACCGCGGAAAAATATCTCATTTCTGAGAAAAAATACAAAAACTGTAATGTCTCTTACATTATACTAATATGTGAAACCTAAGAATTTGGTTTTTGGTTATCTGAACGCGGGCGGAGCCGTGGGCAATGCTAGTATATTATAAGGTCATTGGGATGCATCGACAATGGAAAGCCTAGCGGCTGCCATACCTACATAATGTTATTTAATGCGTATAAAATCATTGTAATCAATAGAAACATATAAAAACATATAATTAATATCGAGATCGAGAGATAGAGACACGCACTTGTATATACTCTTATAAGTAACTATACTGGAAGTTCGCAAAAATGATATTATTAACACAATTTTTGCGAAAATACTTTTCACGATAAGATATATAGAATATTGAAAATAAAGCAAAATATGTAACATACGCTATTGAAGAACGATATAAGTACCTATTACATATGTACATACATACACATAGGGGAAACATAAGACATCTTGGTTAACATATAATTTTGCGTAATGTTATTCATACGAGTATATGTACCTATACCGCAACTCGGGAGTTCTAACTAAAGAGGCAAGGCAAGGAAAAATCACTTACTAAAATAAAACTAAGAACATAAAATAGAACTATAATTCCTTAAATTAAACCGTTAGATGACTTAGTACGCATAAATTTATTTAATTTACGCCTCGGTCATTTAGGCTGAGGCGTGAATAAACTGGTCGTACATTGCTAATTAGTAAAAATAATTCGTTAAATGAAAGTTTTTTAATAACATATTCGATTAAGCCAGTTATGATAGTATGCTGCCAAATTTTACAAGAAGACAAACTAAAAAACTCACTTTTATTAGTAACACTAAAAATCAGGCTTTAAAATCCAATTCTAACCAAATAAGATCAAATTCAAAATATTTACTAGGAGCAGTTGAAGATTTCCACTAACCATTTTCTGACCTCACCATCAGATCAGGTCCAAGAAACCAAATTACTATACCGTCATTGGAATTGTGAACACTTGTTTCAAATCAATATGACAATTAGATGTAGGTAGAAAAGTCTAATTAGAACTGTTACATACTTCGTATTTCATGGTTACATTCTCGGAAACGGTATACTCTATGTCAAAGAAAATTATATGGGACCACCTCGGAACCTACCTTAATACAATACTGTTTAAAGTAGCAAAATCGGTCAAGCCGTGTCTGAGAAATCAGTGAACATATATATTAAAACATACAGACGACCATAGAACCTCCTTTTTGGAAGTCGGTTAATAAGTAATATCAAATTTATTTGTAGATTAGTTATATTTAAAATATTAACTTTTGCTGTTAACAAATTCGTTTTATTAAGATTACTGGAGAGAGTGAAAATCAATTTGCAAAGCTTGTTTGTAAGCTTTCCTTAAATTAACTTTTGTAGTGCCTTCCAAACGACGCTCTATGAAACAAGTTTGAGACACTAAAGCTCGCTTATTTCTATGAAGTGCAACAGTTGACTGCACGAAATGAATAAAACTTAATCACTAGTTTCTGCTAACAGCAATTTGCTAATGTTCTCGAAGATAAACGAAGATAAACCTTTAGGTCCAGATCGGAAAGTGAATTCAAATACAAGCTTTTAATAAACAAGGCGCGCCCGTATCGGTGCAATGAGCCGGAGACAGTAAACAGCCCCCATCCAGCTCGGTTTGCTTTTATTTTAAGAAAATTAAAATCCACACAACACATGGTAAGTATACCTATAAGTATATAGGTACATTTTGTTTAAAAAACTTTATTAAAAAAATGATTATTCAATTAACATTAATCCATTTTATTATTAGATATATTATATGATTTAAGTATTAAATCGATGTCGCGCACATTGTTATCAATCATTCATTTAAATTAAATTTCATTAAAACAACACATATCAGCCTCCGACTCTTAGTCTATAACATCATGTTAGCAAATCGAATAGTTTTAGAGAAAAATAAATAAATAAATATTGTAGCGCTATTATATATTATTAGGTCATAAATATATAAAAGTATTAATTCGAGACAACGTCCAAGATATTAGTAGGTTCAGCAGAAAACGCAGACAATAGACACGCGGCCAGCTATAGGTAATATTATTACTATATTTTATTAAAGGCGTCTTATCTAAAAATGATATAAAATAAATGGCCCTTTTGATTGGAAGTATTGAGTTTTAATTAAGATTTCAGTAGTGAATGATCAGAAGACTTGTTTTGTTCGGTACGACGTCGCCAGCCATTCGCCGCTAATTAACATGTTTTCTTTTAAGAAACTCATCATTTTAGAGGGTGATTTTTCTTTGTCGACTGAGAAGACGATAATCTCACAGCGAATATTTCGTAGTCATTATTTCGAGCCTTTGTATTCCGGCTTCCCGACGTCCCGACGTCTATACTCTCTTATTCTAACGACTGATTAGGAGATAAGAAAAACAACAAATGCGCTCATTTTCTTTTTATTCAGAAATTCGAGTTATTAACATTAGTTTAGTTATAAATCCATTACTAGCGTAAAGTCTAAACAACCTGCTTGCAAGTCCAGTCTCGGCCCGCGGGCCCGCGCTCAAACAACTTACTGCTAGGTATTATAATTTATATATTACATCGGATCACCTTCAGTTGCACTGCTTATTGCTATACAGTTTGATGACGCGGCTCGCCGCCGCCGCCCGAAGAGCCTTCGACTAAATAGTTATTCTTAAATAAACTCCGAATATCAAAATATCATCATCGTAACAAATAAGAAACGAGTGAGTCGTTGTACGTAGAGAATAAATTCATTTACAATAATATTTATGTCTCTAAATAGTTTTATATACATACACCATTCGCCTTTTAAATATACATAGATAATAATAATTAATTATTAGTAAAAATGACTAGAAGTAAGATTACTTTGGCGGAGTCTTAAGCTAGTGTTTCCGAGCACTGCGCTTTGTATCTATTATATTTAACCTGTTATGTAATTCGTATAGTTTTAATATATTTTTTAATTCCCTTTACAATTTGAAACCCGTAACATATTTGTGGCACTGTCGAATAAAAAAAGGGGCCATCACAATATTGCCTTACTTCGTTTTTGTTACATTACCCTATAATAAAGCTAGTGTATAATATTAATCACTAACATTTGCCCGCAATTTTATACTACTGAATGACGTTTTTGTTTTTTTTTTAATTTTTTACATAATGATGATAATTCAATGCACAGAGATCAACCTGGTTACAACTCGTAAATGGGTATAAATATCGGTAATTATATAAATCGGTACGAAAATCTTAAAAAGACATGCATATTTTATTGTTCTATCATATTGCGAATATAACCACAGGATCAACTTCTTAGCAACAATTTTTGATCTATGAGAATTTACTTGATCAAACAAGTCTCACACATACTTCTTTTAAATAAGAAAATTTATGAATAATAAAATAATAGAAATTAAATTTCATGGAACAACATTGAATGGTTGTGTGAAGTGTTGTTAAATTTTAGAGATAATAATATATCATATGAAAATCTAATATTACATGAGGACAGAAATGATCACGAAAATTGGCACTCTTGGAGACAGACCTTGGACGGATCATACTTAAGACAAAACGATTATAGGCCTTCACAAACAAGCAGAGTATACGTAAAGAGGTACATGTGACTTGGGGAATTCGCGATATTATTTAATATTATCAACTGCTACTGGGACTAGAGTTACTTAAGGCAATATGACTAGTGACGTTAAAATAACTAAAAATAATAAAAAAGAGTGCAAAACATTTGCATCTAACTTTCCAAGCTTATTCTGAATTTGTTCATTATATTTTAGAGAATTTCTGATGACCACAGGTTGATACGTGACAAGACAATTCTGAAAGTCATTTTTTTTGTATAAAATGAGACAGAAAATAAATAACCAAAAGTTAAGAGGTAACTATTACGAATGCCAACTTTGACTTAGCGAGCTCCTACTACGGAAGATTTGAGTATAAATGTGGTTGCGCGGAGCGCAGGCCGGCGGCCAGGCGCGGCGCAAGCGGCTGGTACTCTTTGCCTGAGCGTGGTCGCAGCGTACTTGTCGTTTGTCGCATTACCCTGTCATATTAAAAAAAATGTTTAAACCTCTGCTTCTATTAGCAATGATACCTTTAGATACGGTAAAAACATATTTAATAACTAACCTCATTGTAATAGGAGTATCCGATGAGGAATGTGATGAGCAGATTGAAAGAGTTTCTATGTAGTCTGACATGTCAGAGGTGCCACTAGATGTGCTGTGCGTGTCCATAACACCTAAGTGGTAATAAATAAAAATTAATGAATATTACACAAAACAATTTAATAATAGCGAAGAAACTGACAGTTACCTCTTAATGGTTTTACAATAAGAACTGGAACTTCTGCTTCTGCAGAGCAGCACTTATGTGTAGTAGGCGGAGAGTTCCTTGTTCCCCCGGACGATCGAGACCTACGAGGGGGAGTGCCGCGAGGCGAATCAGTAGCACGCCGTGCTGTTCGATATCTCCGTCGAGTAGCTGCTGTAGTTGCCGGCAGCTCAAAATCAGCGGCACCAGGCGCTGCTTCTCCTCGTAAAGACCAACTAGAAACGCCTGAGTCGTTGGAACTTGATGAATCTCTATTTCCACCTGCTGTCACTGTTATACCCTTTGCTTTTGATGCCTCAGAACTATCAGCGTCAGAATGCTTACTTGTAACACAGTCACAAGGAGTACTTGTTTCTCTTACACCTATATCACGTAGAGTTTCAATGGAAGATGCTGAGCCACGACTACCAACGCTACCATCAAACTCTTTTACGTCATCGAGGAATCTTGATGAATCAGCAGAACTCGATCTTTTTCTAAATTCTGCTCGATGTCCCGGTGCCCGTAATTCTACATGATCTCCTGGAGATATTGCACTTGGTCGAGGTTCTTCAGGTCCAGACAAAGTAGGGTTACTTGCAGATTTTTCATCCAGTAATCTGTTAATTGGATTCTTGGCGGGATATTTTAAAGTATGGAACCCAAAACTTCCTATAGGGGACATGGGAGTATATCCAGAAGGTAGCAATTTATCTGATTCAAATTTATTGCTTTCCAATGAATTTGGTTCCATCATTAAATATTCGTCGTTGGAACTTTTTCTATTGCCTTTCATTTCTTTGCCTTCTTTAAAATGACCACATTTAGTGCACATACTTTTACCACTAATTGACGTGAAACCCATAGTTGGCCTTAAATTTACACTAAGTGCGTCAAGTTCCAATTGAGTAACTCCTGCTTTTCGTAATAAATCTTTAGCGTTTTCATAATGTTCTAGTGATAAAGCAAAATTAAGATTTTCATAATTTGCATGCGGACCTTCATCAATCTCAAGTGTTCTTGAGTCCAAACTTCGAGTCATTAAATTATTAGGATTTGACAAAGCATCAAATTGTGCCTTTCTTCTTGTTTTACGGGAAAGGTCTACAGTGGCATAGAGCGCAGTTCGGTCACTGTTGTCAATTATAACATTTTCTTCATTAGAAGTTGCTGTTTCTTTCTCGTCGATATTCCGTTTACAATAGGGCAGCTTAATCCAGTTATTAGCCCAATCCGTTACTCTTTGACATGGACAATTCGCAGGTTGAAAGGTTTCGTCCGTATCAATTACAGTTGCTTGTTTTGCTTTCTTTCCTAATTTTAATAGACATCCACAAGGCTTTTTCAGTATTAAAGTATTTGAGGTAGAACTCTTTGTTATTTTAAATAATTCATTATTAAGGCATTCTTTAAGCCTTTTTGGAGTATCGTAGTATTCTCCTTCAACCTAAAGAAGAAAACTAAATTAGTAATAACACATTATGTATAAATAATAATAGTAGTAATAAAGCATTATGTATTAATTTAATCAATATTACATAATATTTACCTCAGCTGAAGGTATTTTTGGTACATCATAATTCTCGTAAGGGCCTATACTTGGATTATTTTCTCCAATTGCTGATAATTGTGTGTGACTGAATGACCTCACTGGTAAAGGCATTGGAGGTTTTTTTGTAAGATTTAACTCCAATCTAGTAGGTTTTGGTGGACGTTCAGGCGGCCTATCTGATGGACATCGACACACTTCTTCAGTCTTTACTCCACTAATTATTGCCTCCTTACTAAAAGCGGCTTCAGTTATTCCAATTTCACTATGGCTCTCATCTAATGCTTCCATGGTCCATGCTGGACTAAAATGTTTAGCTCCAGGTGTTAGCGCAGCTGTAGATGACCTGGATAAGGCCCCCAATTTTGATATACAACTCATGCATCTTTCTAGCATCACATTTCCGTTTCCGTTCCAAGGAGCCATATCGGCGCCATCTACGGTTTCATTTACAGATGCTGTATCTCCTAATCCCATATCTTGAAACTGCGTACGCTCTGCAGAAGGCCAATAGGGAGAAATTGCCCCCATCTCATCATTACACGGATCTTCATAAAGGCGCATATCTGTTGGTGGTAATGATCTATCTATCGTGTTCAATTCTAATCTTCGTAGGTCAGATTTTTTAAAAGAGATATGAGAATGAGGACTCTGCGTACCTGTATAAGTAAAAATGTTGTATAGCGTGAGCTCATGACATCAAAGTAAAAATAACGGTTTCGTAAAAATCTTAAATAAAATAAAGTTAAGACTACCTACCATCTTTTCTAAGCCCCGAAGGCCTTCTTCTGGGTGAGAGTTGCCCTCTTGACGCAAGATCGAAGTCTCTTGCAATTTCATTTGCTTGATCAGTGACCAACACGTGCAGACCCTCTCCCTTACCACAGTGTGACCCTCCTTCGAAACAAAACCGCCCATCCACTACGCCATACCGTCTGAATAACAAAGCAGATAAGGTAAACTATAAATACCAGTAGAAACTAGAAACTAATACAGAAGGGATTTACAATTCCACTCGGCCTAGATAAAAGTCAGTCCACGGTTACTCAAGAACTTTTTGGTTTTATAGATTATGAGAAATTATTAATATTTTATGTATTTATAACCAAATAATTGCAATATACACGTTAAATTAAATCAGAATATATTTAGATCTTGTATAATTTACGTACATAGTACATAGTATTTGTGAAAGTATAGAGATACTTAATTATACGGATATTATAATGAAGTACAGCCACGAAAAATAAAAAGGTAATCCATTATTTATGATGATTTTAATAAATGTAATATTAACATTAAGAAAATATATTTACATTTATTAATTAACAAAAATAAGAATTATTACAGTACCTTAAATGTGCGATTTCCCAAACGCCAAGCAGACGCGGCGGCACGCCCGAGGTGAGGGCGAAGCGCCGGTGGTGTAGGTGAAGGTGCGCGGGGCCGAGCGGCAGGCGCTTGCCGGCGCCCGCCGCCCCACCCGGGGACCCCACCAGGACTAAGTACTGCCGGGCCTCTCCGAGCTGGGCCCCGACTTTCACCTAAGATATAAAATCAAACTGATGAACCCAGACAATATGCGATATACTTCTGTATTGAATGTTATTTGTGAAATGATTTAGTAAAACACTTATATAAATGATCTGCAGTACGTAATAAAATTAAACATTAAGATTTCTTATTTTGTTTAAAAAATGAATATATCAGAGGATCATTTAAGGCAGCACTTAAAGCTGAAAAGCTAAAAGAAAGCCAAATACGCTGGTATGGCCATATCCTTAGACGAAATGGCGACCATCCAATACATAAAGTCCTAAATAGCCCTGACCGTCCGCGAGGAAGAAAACGACCACGTGCCACCTGGTGGCCAAATATGCAGAAAAAGATCTAGAGAGACAACCTGAGTACACAGAAAAGTCAAGATTAGAATTTTTTGGTGCAATCATACAAGGAGACCCGCTCCCAGCTATACTGGGAAGAGGGGCGGACAAAGAAGATAAGATTTTTGGTTCCCGACGGTTCGAATACTTTACAGCATCCATGGAGAGACTCAGTCGCTCCCGTGACCATGGATGCTGTAAAGCATTCGAAACGTCGGGAACCAAAAATCAAAATAAATCCGCGAAATAATCCGAAAAGATAGTTTTATTTAAAATTTCAAATATTCGCGTAAATGTAAGAAAGTATTAAAAGAAGATAAGATTAAGATTTCTTGCTTAGAATTCATTCAATTCAATAACACTACATTGGAGAGTGATTTTGATAATTATTGTTTGTTTGTTGTTAAAAAGCTAAGAAAATCGCACTGCGACATCTCTGTTTTTGAACAATAAAATTAAATTATGTTTTGAAGTCATTGTTTCCTCCACGACCGCGGACACGCCAGCGTTACAGTTAACGATAGATTTCTTAGAATTTTAATTAATTTCTTAGAAATTTAACTGGAGGTGTTAATAAGAGAATTTAATTGAAAATTATATTATTTACCTGCCACTGTATAAGCCTCTCGCGTGTCTCGAATGCCAAAACGGCGGTGAAATCTCGGCAGAGTAGCGCGAGAGTGTGCGAGTGCTTGTCGAGGGTGAAGCCCGCCTCGCAGCCCAGGTACTGCTGCAGCGAGAGCGAGGCCTTGCTCGCTGCTCCTCCCCATCGGGCTTTAGAGTCGCGATATACTTGCAGATGAACACAATCTACAAAATAAATATTTATAAGTAAAAAATATATTCTCATATTATTTTAAATACGAGTTTTGAATAACCTTGGAGCTACACGTAATAGTACCGCATGTCGTATCGGAATAATATCCTGTATGTAGTATACGTTAGCAAGCATCAGAGCGATCACGTAACATTAAAGTCATCGATCCCTGATAAAAAGTAGGGCTAAGAAGGGGATCGAGATACATTCTTCGTACTTTATGGAGTCGAAAATAAGCGTTACGGAATCCTTTGTAACCGCGCCAAAATACGTCGTTGTAGTAATAAACGAGTAAGTTATGAGTGAGGGCTCGCGCGCTTGATTTATTTTCGTAAAAAGATCCACGTAATGTTATGCTTCTTCCATTTCGTTTGCTTCGTAATAAAATATTACTTCACAATTGGAATATATTCATAAACTACGCTTATATCGGAAGCTGAATGAATCGTCTGAGTTTGATTAAATAAACTTCTTCGATCTTTATTCGAGTAAGTTCATAAATGCGTAAGTATCATATCCTAGGTAAATACGTAAATGCGTGTCAGTAACAATATATAATTTATATGTAGATATAGACATTTTTAGCGTTGTTCGTCGCTTTTTACTAAATTATAGTATAATGAAAGGAAGGAAAATTTTATATCTCAGTTTCCCCACAATTTGCCGTACTTATTATTTCCCTAATTCAGACTATTCGAGTGTCTTATCTGTCGGGCTCCCTCTGAACTCGAAAGTGGAGCACAAAGCGGTTGTTGACGCGCGAGAGATCTACGGCGGTCTGCGGGATGCTTGCTTTTATTTTCTCGACTATATAATATCAACATACTGCATTATCTATATTGTACACTATTATAATATGTATATAGGTATTGTGTAATAGTTTTACAGCCTACAAAGATATATATATAATAAGTAAATTCAGGATTTCACTCAAATTAGTTGATCTGTTACAGAGTGAATGCATTTCGAATTTTTTACTGTTAGATAAGACCTCGAAGTTTTAGGCTAACCCTAATGTACAAATCCAACTCGCATCTGGATTTTTTATGCTCGCTATTATTTTGTCAATGTAACATATTTGTACAGGTCGATAATTATAAATATAAATATTTTATACGACCTTTATTTTTACTATGTATTAATTAATTAAGATAATGATGTGGTAATTAATATAAGATTTTACATAAAAAATCATTAATCGTCATATAAGATATAACTTATAGATAAAGTAATTAAAAAATATTTGATATAAAATTAAAGATAAAAATATTTTTTTCTAAACACAACTCTCAAATACAGTTATATGGACTTCAATGAAACTCTTTTAATACGCATGAACAATATTTTGAAAATAGCCGTTTGTACGAGAGGTTTAAGATTGAGTACCGAAGGCGTGCTCCGAGACTTGCCCCCAAACTTGTAAGACTTGTAAGAACAATACTAGATTATATTAATTAATACGTAAAGGAGTTAATTTTGTAATTTATAAATGAGTGAATAATAACTATTATTATTTGTCTTTTCTGTTTCATAGGTATATTCACAAAAACTACATTTTTTTATTATTTATTTACAGATTTAATACCTAAGCCTGCTTATTTAACAGTATTAATTTGCATATTATCAAAATGCTAAAAATCCTTTTTATCCGAAGATTTCTACACTTCACAGCCCCTATAAATGATAACTCGTGCAAAAATTAACCCCGTCCCTATACTGCAACAGCATACAGTTATTTCGTCATTACATACCAGAATTTATACGGTAGTCTCTCGACAGTTAGACACGTTTTATTAGTTCTCGTTTAGTTCCGCCTAATCTACGTCTGTTTTGTTTCAGGACCTTTCGCCTTTTTTTTTTTTTTTTTTTTTTTAACGTTGGGAAATGCATTTACGCACGACGTGTGGGACTCACCGGCGTAATACAGCCAGTACTACCCACTAAAACCCAACAAAACCTTCCCCCGTCTTAATGGGGCGTCGCAGGATCGCTTACGCATTCAACTACGACGCCCCGACGGCAGGTCCGCCGAAGCAGACCACCACAACCATGGGGTTGCTCCACAGTCCACTCTGCTATCAGAGAAGTACCAGGAGCAACCCGCATGGTACACCGCCCTCCGAAGAGGGCCACCTCCCACCGCCCACCGAAGTGGGCAACCTCCCTGTGCGTTTCTTAGCTTCGCTACTGCTACTGAGCCCCCCCACCACGACAAGGTGAACGCACGTTGGGGGGGCAGGACCTTTCGCCTGCTGTAAGCTTATCGAAACAAGACACGCCCCATTTCACTGCCTAGTGGTCAATTTTTATCGACTAGTGTTTTATCTTTATAGCTTACTGTAATGATTTTAGTAATGCTTTAGAAAACCACAATAGTTATCAAAATGTTATCAATGCCTCTAGCATAAAATCGAATGAACCAATGATCTGATTCCTAAACCAACAGATAGCTACATTAACTCCGAGTACCATGAGATATAAAGGATATTATATTATGTTGTGTGTATTTTGGCCGAGTTATCTCTACTACTACTAGTAAATAATTGGGGAAAGCTAATAACACGAGATAGTGTTCAGCTTTTGTTAGCGCCCCACTGCTGGTAATGGGCCTCCTTTAAATACTAGGGGTATCAGGCCATAGTCATATATAAAGGGTCAAATTAGAAAATGTAGAGGCCAAAACCGCGGAAGCCGCTACTCTACTCGACATTCAAACATATATAGTTTAAGATCTCGATCTATTTGGTGGACCCCTGACTCTTTTTCCAGGCGAAATATATTTTTTTACCCATAAAACATATTAACAAACACGACCTAAGGGGGTTACCACCAAAAATTTGCTCAAGGCTATTTTTATTTATTTATTTATAACTTAAACATTTATTTATGAACTAGCGACTCACTCTCGCTTCGCTCGGGATCGTTCCTAGGTACGTTTTAAAGGTTAGTATAGATTTCCCAGCATATTTTCCCGCAGTAAAAAGTATCCTAAATGTTGACCCGACTAACTAGCTATCATCACACCTAATTTCATCAAAATCTGTCCAGAGGTTTTCCGTAATACCTTCCCAAACAGAGAGACAGACAAAAAATTATAGATTCGGCCTCTACATCGATAATAATGACTATTTCAATAAGATTTTCCAAAAAATACTGAATGTACAGATTCCACTCACTTTGAATTATATTATATGTATGGATTTAATAAGTATATTATAAATGTTATATACGCATTTTCTATATACGTATTAGTATTTGTATATAAGTAAGTACTTCGAGTTTTTATATAAATTATAAAAAATACGGCCTTGCTTTTATTTTTTTAGGAAAAATCCTTAGATTTCAATTTCGGTGTACGGAATCCTCTTTTACGCTAGTCCCTCTCGGACTGGTTCTAAATGCTATCCTTTTGCAAATCAAAAAAACTCTTCAAACAAAACCGTACAAAGAACAGATGAAGTTACAAAACATAAAAACTGGTTGGTAAGATAATGTCGCAGATTGTCTATGACTGCAAATAAAAGGGCAAGAGATAACGAGGCGCCCTCCGCCGCCGCGCCAACATCGCGCGTATCGCTTATGTCGAAGGTCTCTAACAAGCTCTTCGGCTTATGTTCTTGTCATTCTTGTCGACAACTTGGTACGAGTGCTTACAAAGAAATACTTTGTGACATTCCCAGTATTACTATCAAAGCGATTCTTCTAAAAGACTAGTCATGTAGTTTTACTTTCCAACTGAAGTTTGTCAGTTTCAACTTGATGTAATGAAGGCTAACTTTGCTCATTCGAAGCACAAAGCGTAGTCCCAGTTATAGTATTGAAATAAAACATTGTTAAAACTTAAATAAACAACGTTTAAATAATTTGAATTACTTATTTATACTTAATAAAATATTTTAAATGCAAAATTAAAATTTGGTGTTTTGACATTTTCATACTTTAATAATTATAATCGTAGCTGTAAAAAATAACCAATAGCATCGACCGCTGGTGGCAGAAGTAATTCGGTACAAACATACTCATACAATTTCAAATTTAAATTAGCGGTAAATGGTATTAAATTTTATGCAGTGGCCGTGTCGTCCAATTAATACGTTTAAATAATGCGGAGTTAAATTAAAACGCGATCGTTAGAGGGAGGCGGCTGCGGCGCCCAACGAGCGGCGTAATTAATGAACGCTGAACGCCGCCGCGCTCAAGTCGCCGCCGCCGCGCCGGCCGACCTCCGCCTCTCGCCTGCACGCTCGCGTGTGCAACGTTACACACTGCCTATCAAAACTTACACGCTTCTGCTATGCAAATACTGAGGCATATCACGTACGGGGTGAACTCCTGCCTCAAATTTGGCGCTCGTATTTACAACTAAGTTTCGTGTACATTGGCGTTTTAACATAAAAGACTATAGCACACGTTATTAATCTCTAATGTACATCTACATGTTGTGGTTTTATATTAATTTGTACTAAACATAGATCCTGCACATTTAAGTAACAATGAATGAAACATTATAAAAACAATTTAATGATAATTTCTCATCATTGATTTGATGATCTCTAAATGCTCATTAATATTTATAAAGGCAATCACGATTGATTCGCCATGCTGTAGCCAGTACCTGCGCCCCTCGGGAGCGTGCCTCGCGTACCGATGACCCTGTTGTCATTGCGCCCTTTATTCGCTTATCACCCCTTCGTCCAATCTCCCCAGTCCCCGTAGAGCCGCGTGCCGCGACTTATCGCCACTAACAATGCATTGGACCCCCCGGATGCGAACTAAAGGCCGCCAACCTTGACTCGCTAATATATTAAGATGAGTAAAAGAATGCCATTTGCGTATGAGCAAATATGATCATTTACTGCATTTTTAGCAAAAGAAACATTCCTTTTAATGCATTCGTATCCCTAATAAAACCTGCACATGTGAGTGACAAACAATAAAATTTGCAATTACAGATATGCTTCATAGACGTGTAATGTCCTCTACAACATGTGTAAGAGCTTCAAAAACAATACAAGAAGTTGCATTGAGAAGTCTCAATTATTTTAAAAGTGCGGCGTGAAGAGGTGAGCGTAAAGCGTGAGGTGTTCCGCGCTCACTCAAAGACTCTCATTCCCCTCGTGTCAAACTTTATTTGACTGCACTCTATTCTAGGTGTAAAATGAAAAGAAATTATTCATAAAAACTGTGCTCTGACGTACCTATCTCAATCCTTTGTCTGCATATAAAGTAGTGTAGTTGTTAAACATTTACAGACGCTTTATAGTTTCCAATATAGTTTGTAGCAATAAAAACATTTTAATTTGAATGATAGTTGTTAGTTAAGACGCGGTACGAAACATAACTGAGGAACATCCTTCCGCAGCCATCGCAAAAGGAACAAATCACATCTGCAGTCGCTGCGCGAGGCGAAACGATGCTGTCGGTTGCATTTCCGAGACGATACCAAACAGATCCGCAGCGAGTCGAGCGATTGAACATTAAATTTATCATTCCAATTGATATTACACCGTTTGAATATTTTCATTCATGTGTAAAAAGGTTTGTAAGTGAGAAAAAAGAAATGAAATCATTTCGAACATTTTTATTGCAGCTTAATGCTATGCTAGCTTAATGCCTAAATGTAAGAACTCGCGTTTCATTAACAACGCAACTCGTCGTTAAAGCATGTACAGTGTGTGTTCAATGTATGTATATACGGGTATGTAAATCTCAGCATTTATAAAAAATGAAGCATGAATTTCGTCAGTAATATCTGTTCACGCAAAGCGTAGTCGACGGTACTTCCCCGTGCTACGAAACGGAACACGAATGTCGTGTAGGGCAGAGTGTGCCTACAGAGTACAGGGTACAGGGTACAAGGTACAGGGTACAGGATATAGGGTACAGGGTACATAGTACATAGTGCAGGCGGTGCGAGGTGTACCGAGGCGCATCATTACCGCGGCGATTGCCGTCATTAGCCGCGGAAACGAGCGCGTCGTCACCTTTGTAGCTCTGCGCTAAACGAGACCGCTCGCTTGTGAGTTGCGACTTTAATTAAACAATATTCTCAATTCCAATGGGTTTAAAATGGTTTCCAACATTTCTTTGTTGGCTTTGTAGTATGAATAAAGGTTTACTCTATATTTGTTAAAGGAATATTTAGAAGCATTGTGTGATTGTGAGATTAGAGCTAACCGGCCCAGGCAAGACAATAATATTGTCTCAGATTTAATTTCTAAACGAAAGTTACCTATTTGTGTTTTTATAAACATCACTACATATTATTCGAGATTTCATGACTTCTTCTCTTTGATTATTTGGTAATTGATTTTAAAATTTTAATAAAATTTGTGTAGTTTTAAGCGATGACCCCGATAAACTAAAATAAAAACTGTTGTTTGGAAAATGCTTATATTATATAAAGGTTCTATAAAAGGACACATACGTAGCTAGATAGAGAAGAGTTAACAAATAAAAAAAACTATAATTTCGGCTTATTGTTAGACTCTTACTTGTATATCGTATTAATTTATATTACTTAGCTCTTAACTCTTACACTTGTCAATGGCCGGCGCAAACGAGTTGACTTAACAAGCTATAATATGAAATGGAGATAAGTAAGATAAAACAGCCGTTTTAATGTAACCGTAGCGTGCAGCCGTGCGACCGCGCCGTGCGACCCTGCTACGCCGGGCGACCGCGTGCGCGCTTGCACTTTGTGCCATTTTCATTAGTTAATTAATTGAGCCAACCACGCAGTCATTATCGATTTATCGAGTCGAGTTTGTATATCACATTATTAGAATAAAATAGGGTATTCATGTATAATATACCCTGAATTAAAAGATACTTTTAATGCGACAAGCCATGATTTACAAACGTAATAGTTTTATTTTAAATAGTTATTTTTTTGTTTTGCTACCATCAAAATAATTTAAGTAACGCTTTTATTTAATAGTTCTGAGATCAATGGTTGTACAGATACCATTTGGTCCAAAATCAATAGCTAATATCCATATCCATACTTAATATTATAAATGTGAAAGTGTGTTTGTTTGTTTGTTTGTTTGTTTGTTTGTCTTTCTTTCATGTCGAAACGGAGCGACAGATTGTCGTAATTTTTTGGGTGAAGATAGTTGGAGATCTGAAGAGTGACATAGGCTACTATTTATCGCGGGAAACCCTCTATTTCTCACAGGAAAATACGTTATATATCCTAAAAAAATATTTGGTCAGAATAGCTTGAAACTTGGTATTAATGCTGTTCAACACAATTTAATAAATACGTGTTTAAGTATTTTCCGAAATTCATCCCATAACGGGGTAAAATAGAGGATGAAACTTTGTATGCAACCTACCATTTTAGAGGGTTTTTGTAGTTTCAGCGCGAGCGAAACCGCGGGTTCTGCTAGTAGCTTATAAATATACGATTAAAGTTAAGCTAAGATTAATACTAAGTGTATTGAGATGTTCCATTTTAGCGTTACACTATTAGACACGAGCTTAAAATAACAAATTTCAAGCTCTACTACGAGTGACAGGAGCGCGCGTGAGTGCGAGGCGCGTGCTAGTGTTCATTAATTATCCTGTACTAGTGTGGCGCCTCCGTCTGTACTACACTGTGTGATGGGGACATACAGCAGCTGGCACTATACTACTCCATGTTAATAATATCTAACATTTATATAATAACGAATTATAAAGATACTATCGTGTACAAGAGATTCCATTTCATTCAGTCAAGTGGATTTGTTACACAAATGGAAACATTCTAAAAGCTGTTATTTTGATAACTAATACATTCTAATCACAAAACGTGGTTTGCCAAGTACAACTAGTACTGACGCAAAACTTGTGAAGTCCTTCACTGCCTATATTATGTGATTGGTTAAGATCATTGTCATAGACTGGTTCAGACAGATTTCAATAGATAGGACCGCAACCGTCATCTCGACAGGTGCTGAGGTGTCACTACGAGCATGAGCGCTCTATCTAGTATCTAACTCGAACGTCATGTTACAACACAAAACACTACGATATTTGCATGTTTCATTAGCTTATACCACGAGTACATTAAAGACTTGCTCTAGCCACGCTTTGACTGCACCCTGAACAAAACTCAAAGTAAAAACCGGTAAAGAGCGAATCTGGCTCGTGGACCAAAGGTTTATTGTATTACTAGCAACAAAAGCAAATCTATCCCTCGGGAACCATATATTTTTCTGGGATAAAAGTAGCCTATGTGTTATTATATTGTGTTTAGTAAACTAAATGTTCAGTCAATGTTAATGAACAGAGAAAGAATAGATAGATATAGATAGTTTAACAAATGTTCGACGTGATTCATTAAATTGGCATTTTTTTTTATTTATGATCCGATAGATAACAAATACTAAATGTTAAGTGAAGCTTACCACAATATATTAGTGAAAACCACATCTAAATCGGATAAGCCGTTTCTAAGATTAGCGTGCACAAACGCACAGAAAAACAGACAAACAGAAAAAACAATCTAACAATCATTGTTTTGGGTGCCATTTGCGTTGATAAATGTCCCAATAATATTTTTTCTCATATATCTTCCATGCAGACAGCGATGCGTTATATTTTCAACCGACTTCAAAAAGGAGGAGGTTCTCAATTCGACTGTATTTTTTTTATGTTTATTACCTCAGAACTCCGTCATTTATTAACCGATTTCGACAATTTTTGTGTTGTTTGAAAGTATATACTTCCAGATTGGTCCCATTTAAATTTCAAAAAAAAATACCACCCCTGGTGGAAAAATAGCTAATGATGGATATGAATTTAACCTACTTCTAATTGTCATATTGACTTGAAACTTTGCAAATGTTTCTATTTCCGTTGATAGTACAATGGTTCGGTATTGTTGACCTGATCTGATGGTAAAGCCAGAAGTTGGATAGGTGGAACTCTTCAACGGCTAATAGTAGATACTTTGAGTTTCGGCTTATTTTGTTTGATTTGACAATCCTAACACGTTAGAATACTTACTTTGCTACTCTAACTCTCTTACTATCTACACTAAAAAGGGAAAAATAAAAACTTTTTAACAAAAAAATTAAAACCGACTTCAAACAAAAGCACTAAAAAGTAAAAAATTACTAATTGGTAGTTTTCATTTACTATACATACCTAATTAAATATTTTCGAAGTCGTTTTTAGGTATGTATAGTAAATGAAAACTACCAATTGGTTATTTTTTACTTTTTAGTGCTTTTGTTTGAAGTCGGTTTTTATTTTTTGTTAAAAAGTTTTTATCATTATATGTATAGATTTTTCACCCCTCAGTTACATGACGTGTAAAGTGCTAAAAATAGATACATATATGACTAAGCTTCATAGTTATCTAGAGGTTCACCTTAGACTATTAAAAACTACTAAATTCCAGCTATATAATATCAGCTAACTTCCGGGTAAAATGGCTGTGCCATACGAACATAGGAACAGATAGACACGCGGATGTGATGGAATTATATGATTCCGTTTTTGTCTTTTGGCCACAGAATTTGCAAATATCCAAAAGTATAACTAGCCAATGTAGAAAAAGAAAAAAGTAACAAAATCTACGTAATGTAAAGCCAGAAGAGCTTCATTATGTTGTGCTTAAACAATTATAGCAATTGTATGTACATATGTGGTTATTCAAACATCACTGAGAGCTTACATTGTTGTCTCAGATAAGTTTATCGTTAACGGACAGGTGCAATGTAAGTGTAGATGCCTACTGTGGAGATTTATCTCACCTGCGACGGGCGACAGCTTCCGCATGACACACCATCGCGACTTCCACTGTGAACAAATAACTATACGTGAATCGGATGTGTTAATTACCATATTATATATATTGTACATATAGCGTTGTAGTCGATATGTATTATTGTTATATATAATTAAGATAGTAATTATATAATATTAAGTAATCTGTAAACACCGTTTCTCCACGACTCCGCAAACGTATTTCAATTATGTATTTCTATATCTTTAAAATTATAGCCTACTATCGGCTTACCCTCGCTTCGCTCGGGTTCACCTCTAGGAAAACGAAAACAAACCTATCCCACTGGAACCGTACATTTTTCCGGGATAAAAAGTAACTTACATGTTATTCCAGACTATAATCTATCTCTGTGCCTCATCCAGATCCGTTCAGCCGTTCTGGCGTAAAAAAGTAACAAACATCTATACACACTTACAAACTTTCACATTTATAATATTAAAATAATACGGATGTGTTACTCCGATGAAGTTTCATGAAGTTCATTAAAATTAGAACAGTCACAGATCTGAACAGTCAGGTGAAGTTTCATTAAAATCTATTCATTAGTTTTTGCGTGATAGAGTAACAAACATCCTCCCATCCATTTGTCATCACAAACTTTGGCGTTTATAATATTAGTAGAGTTTTAAGTTGTATTTACCTAGAAAAATATTAACATTAATCATGATATTCTACCTTTCGGATCTTTCAACAATAACATCAGCTAGTATTGTTGAAAGATCCAATATGTATAATGTACAATAACATCAGAAAGGCTTATATTAATTAGCCTTATTACCGCCGATAGAGAGTTCAGATTCAATGTACATTGTATTCTAGATATATTTATTTTACCTATTTTTGCTGGGGTATCGTTCTGATCTTTGACCATCATCCATCGTCGTAGATTTTCCTGTCGAATTTCACTCAAATCCGTTGTGTCTAGATGAAAAATAATACGCACTTATTCTGACACAAGCTTTCGCATTTATAATAGTATTTTATACATACTTTTTTCCCATCTCGAAATTTGACAGTGCCTTCGATGATAGTGTTATCATCAGCCATCGTGTGGTCGCTGCGGCCCGAGTGCCGGCGGGCGACGTGCGACGCGCAGCGGTCCGCGCCCTACGACACGTGCAGCAGCCAGCGCGTGTGCGGCGCCCGCTCGCCGCGCGACAACATCGCGGACACCACCACTACACTCTCACACTGCAGGCACTAGCGCACACATCTGAAACAATCAATGATATACAAATTCAATTTTGCTTCATAAAGGAGTTCATTCATTTTGAGCCCAAAAGTCAAAGTAACGGTCAGCGAAAACAGATATGTGCAACGTATTAGGAAGCTAAGCTAATCACAAGTATTTTTTACCATTACAGCAAACCTCTACCACTATTCCTTCAGCTATTATTTCCTGTTTTATCTTTGTAACATATTACAAAAATAATACTATGCAAATACTCTATTGTATTGATCATAATGGGTTTGGTTTCATGAACCCGTAAGAAACAAAAGGATGTCCAGAGGGTGGTCGGTACACCACTATTACTATGGCATTTAACTCTGGGAATAGAACTATAGGATGTTGCGTAAATAATTAAAAAATAATTGTATCTTTTCAGCCAACTCCCTTCACTCAGGTGACTGTTGTGTTGAGTGACTTCTGGAAATAAGAGTACCTGGGCGACCAAGCTTCACTCGGAGTTTTTGGCCAAAAAAACATTAAAAAAACTAAAAAATTGACTAAAAAAAACAAAAATAAAGACGTTGTATCCGACCAGGATACAAACTCAGACATCTGTGGTTGTCAAACTTGCGCCTTGGTCGCTTGACCACGATGCTTATGTCCTAGCGTTTCCGAGAAGTATGCAATAAAAAAATACGTAACGGCGTGATTTAGGTCAGTGCTCTTAAATATTTAAATCTGACGACGTAAATATTGAAAGCAACTTGTAGCATGTTACAAGTATCGATCACGTCATGCAACATGTAGAGAGTATTTATTGACTATCGGCAGAGTCCGGGTGCCGACAGGCGACACTGTTGACATGCCCTTTGCCACCCGACGCCTGAGACATTCGCTCGAATAAGTTTCTCTAAGTAACGATACAGACCAAATTACGCGTTGCACCAATTGTAGCTGCATATTCTAACAGTAGCAGGAGTATGTATTATTTGAAATTTTAAATAAATACATCGTTACAAGACTTCTAAAAATGCTAAACCTATTCAACATTTATACTTTTTTATACTTGAATATATAAAATAACGATTTCGAAGCTGACAGCCTCACGGACAGACTACACTGACTCTCTTTTTAATTAAGTGACAATTCGAAAGTGCTTGTAATACTCTAATTGAATGAAGGTTTATATAAAATTAAAATTAGCTTCAGTAAATTTTGATTCCAAATACCTACCTGATCTGATTCTATGCAAAAATAATGATACGACATTATGTAGAGTTGATACATAGTAAGCCTTGGTTGGCCAAAAATTAATAGCTGATAATGTTATGCATCAGTGATCAGCAAATAGGTGACGATAATCTCGTGTTTCTAACAATTAATATGTGTAACGTAGAGCTTTGGGCTAAACGTACTATTAACTTGATTTATACCCTACCTTTCACGGGAGGTTTTATTAGTAAAAGTAAAATCAATATTTTAAATTAAATCATCATTATTACCTTTAATTAAATATTATGTCCACGTATACTCGTAACATTATGCACATATAAGTGGAACTGGCGATTTATAAAATTATTTAAATGAACACTTACGTTATTATGAAATTTTATATTGATATTTATACAGTATTATTCTTATAATATAAGATCAAGATAGAAGATAAGATTACCTAATAATAATCACTTAATCTTACAAGGTGCATGAAAATGTGTATAAATATAATTAAAAAACACACTTCGCCTCAAAATCACCAAAATACCGTGCCAGAAAGTTAATAGCCATCTGTATACTAAATTTCATCAAAACCCGTCCCGCCGCTTCACTTACTTACACTCATACAAATTTTAGCAATTAAGTCATATTATTTTTTGATTATCTCATATTAGTTTTTAGGGATATTTTGAAATAGAGGCTAGATATATATATATATATATATATATATATATATATATATATATATATATATATATATATATATATAACTGCCTCGGTGGTGTAGTGGCTAGCATGTACGGCTGCACACCCGGAGGTCCTGGGTTCGAGTCCCGGGTCGGGCCAAGTTTAGTTATTGAGTCTTCCTGTATAGTAAGTCTCAGTAACAGCCCGGAGTTGGGAAGTTGGCGGTGTTTCACCCCCGTGCCTCGGAGAGCACGTAAAGCCGTCGGTCCTGCGCCTTAACTCTCACCGGTCGTGTCGAGTGGTCGTCCCACCGGAGTATGAGAGTGATAGGAATAGAGAGTGCACTTGTGTCTGCGCGTACACTTGTGCACTATAATATCTCCTGCGCAGTTGGCTAATCTCATTAAGATTGGCCGCCGTGGCCGGAATCGGCTAGGAGAACATCATCATCATCATCATATATATGTATATATAACTTCGGACGTTTAATTATCTCCCAGCACATTCAATTACAGTGAACACGCATTCTCATAAACACACTCTTGGAAAAGTAAAAGATGTGTTTTGAAAAATACTTGTTGATGAATGTTATGTACACTTGTTATTGATATCCATATCAGTGAGTGTGTTACTTTTCTTATAATTTTGTGTGTTAATGTCAAATATGTATATTGTAAGTGTGCTTATGAAATAAATAAATAAAATCAACCCCACGATGTAATATACAATCTGTCGGCGTGTAAGTAATATCCGCGACTGTGGCGCGACGGCAAGTATCCACTATCCAGTCCCGAGTCCCGAGGCTGCTCCTTGTTATTGCACGAATAATCGGAACTCTCAATACAAACAAAAAGATCGCAGCTGCGAATACATAACAAGTATTACTTGAAAACTTGCGACAATGGATTTGAGTTTCGATCCAATTAAAATTCATACAGAAACGTATGAAACAAGTCAATTACTGATGCCGCTACGGGACGGAGGGAAGGACGGCTCGTGTTAAATAAACAAAAGCCGGCTTACATCGACGAAACAATTTGTTTGTTTCCCTTTTGTCGAGGACAAGGTAAATACTGCAGAGTATGTCATTAACTCGAGTGACGTCTCGCCATCTCGTCGAGCGTCGAGCGTCGCGCCCGCGGCTCTCACTCGCGCGCGCGGAGATGTGTTACTCCTCCGATTAGCCAAAGTCTTACCTGTGTGCGGTCAATACAGCGACACGTCTTGATTGTGTGATAAATAGGTGACATTTAGATGTCGTGAATAAAAAAAAATCTTTATTGGACACGTTTTAAAGACAGTTTATAAAATTATGTTCATTTAAAACAACATTAGTTTAAAACTGTGTCGTAGTCATTAACGTCTACCTCCAGATTATATTATTAATACATTTGTTCCAATTTAAGATTTAAAAGTTAAATTATAGTTTTAACACACTTTTTTTAGCTTCACTTGTTTCTAGCTAGCTTCTAGCGAACAAACTAATGTAAGAGTAATTTCAATATACTTGTGTACCACCATTTGTACATACTTTAATGTCATAATTATCTACATACTTTTCACTTATGTTAGCAATATTATGAAATGTTACTAGTATGAGAATAGAATAAATATAGTTATCACTATTATATAGAGTCAAATGAAATACTTATCTCCTACCAAGCTTGTAAATTCATTTTGTGTAACACAATCACAATTTTGTATTATAACGATTTACATTATGACACCTTTAACTTTCAGCATTACTTCAACTCACTCCAGAAAAATACAATTTTATACTTCAAATTTTTTCACTTCCAAATATTTAAAATAAAGGGTATATGTTTTGACTTTTTTTAAGAATCATAATTCATACTAATACAGTTTTCGGTGCTGCCATCTCTACAAGCTTAGCAGGAAAGAAATATTTCATTTGACTCTATATAATAGTGATAACTATATTTATTCTATTCTCATACTAGTAACAATTCATTGCTAATATTA